TTCACCACTGTCCACCCCAGCTGCTTTGCACTGCCAGGACTGAGCAGAGGCATCATGCTGCTGAAGAAGCTGCTTTCCAGTAACCACTATCAAAGAACCACCCCATAGCATTATCACCTTTGTGACAGCTCCTGTGCAAGCCATAGAGACTAAAATATGACATTTTACAAAGACCAACTTTGACTACTAATTACTGATTATAGCAAACCAACCCCTTTTCTCATGTACTTTCATTACCTTTTTCCAGGGAGTGTTGCGTTAAGGAATGAGGTACAAGCAAAGGCATACAAGTATTCTCTGCCACATACACATTTTGAAGAGAAACTTCCCAAAATATTCCTAAATTGGTAAGGGGATGTATATTAATGACACACAAGGTTCTCTCCAAGACAGAAGCATATGTCCTACAGTGCTGCTCAGATTCTGGTTATCCTAGTCTTTGCCACGACTGTTACTGCAATAAACACACTGCACTTGCGAGCACTTCTAATCTCAAGGTGTAACAGCTTTATGCACACAGCCACCATAGAGAAGAACAATTTATAAAGGCATGGACTGTGGACAGAAAGGCATCATTACACCCCTCGCATGCATTCACACAAAGAACAGGACCACAGCTCAGTGGAGAAGACTGCCTGTGTGTAAGGACCTATCCTAACTGAACAGATCCAACTACTCACAGGATTTTCTCCACATACCTATGCTTCATCTTTAGCCAATAATCATAGTATTTTATGAACCTTCCCTATTACTTATTAAGAACTTTCATAGCTAAACTTATCCTGGACTGAAATTGCCCACTTGCATTTCTCCTGCTGCATTCAACAGAAAGAAAGATAGATGAAGGTTTAGTCTTGCCTCCAAAATGCAGTCACCAGCATAATACCCACTGTTCAGTGGAAATCTCCGCTACCAGTCTCAGGACAAAGCAAAGACACTTTGGGCTGTCCAGCCATGGCACTGAACATCCATCCTTAGTCACCACTCAAGAGGCATCCCATCTCTTGGGACAGACTCTTATAGAAGGAAGTATTATCATTAACTGCTATGTGACTATTTTGCCAGTGGTATCTCCTTACGGAGATAAGATTGTTTAGTTAGGACTTATATATTTGATTAGAATTAATCACTTATCCCATCATGTACAGTAACAAGAACTGTTATTTTGCACTTTATTAGCGAAAAATTTGTTTAAAAGAATCTGTGAAGAAAAAGTTTTAAATTAGAATTTTATACAGCAAGTGGCATTTTCACTAAATAAATACTGTGGCCTCCATAGTAACAGTGCTGGTTTGACAGCTTTAGAAGGTAAGATTTTTTTTTTTAATTTAAACCATTTTTATGTAAAGCAACAGAAATTCTGGATTAGAATCTCAGATGATCATTGACAATCATTGTATCTTTATACAAAACAGTCTCTTTTCAGCACTCAAAAATGGAATCTGAATTAATTTGGGGGGAATTTTAAATTAAGCAAAACATCCTTTCCCTACCCTGTTGTACTCCAAATACTCCTTGTCAAACCCAACATGCAGGGTTGCAGCTTCCTGTGCTAAGGTCTGCTGTGGGTTGCCAGCAGTCTATAATCCTGGGCACCTTACTGAATGTATAGATGCACAAGATTGTAACAGTGGCAGAAAAGATGTTAAGATCTTCCTCCTACCAATGGATTCTACCTTTTAGCTGTCCACCTCATTTTAGCAACCTACAAGAATTAAGAACTTCCTTGGCAAACCTGCTTTGAGGTTCAATGCCCTTAGAGCAGCCAGACAGATTGTCCTTTCTCTGGGACCTCAGGGCTGATGAAGCCTTTTGGCTACCAGAGAGCTGATGTCTCTTTTGAGTGGTGTCCTCCCCACCCATAGGCTCAGGAAAGCTGTAACTGGTTAGAAGCACTGTACAAAATAACAGCAGCCACGACAGAATACTGCAATGAGAACAGTTGCCAGGATACATACATAAACAGAGATTTTTACAGCCTAATAAGCCAGTATGAGAACACCAGAGAAATACATTTAAAAGGGTAGCATGGAGACAGGTAAGATATATTGTGCTGGTTTAAGTTATGTGATCACCAAAATTAACAACATAAAAGAAGAAGGTTAAAAAAACACATTTTTTCCAAGTAGCAAGCAGAAGAAAAAGGCAGAGAGCGACGCCAGCCTCTTCGTTCTCCTGGGCACCCACAGCTCTTTTCAGGGGCAGGGAAGAAGTTTCCAGACTGAAACGACAGCCTTGTTCAACTCTGGACCTCAGTTTAAACAGCGGATGAAGCTAAGCAGCAAAGAAAGAACACATTTGATGTTTATTCCCAGCTTCTGTAAAGGGGTGAAAAGGAGTCAAGAAAGAGAAACATGGTGGTATGGGAGCTGTGCCAGCAGAGAACAACCTTTGCCTTTTGGAGGCTTCATCATCCTCCTGTCAGCTAACTCCAGAACTGCTTGTTGTCAAACAGGAAAACCCGTAACAACTGTGTGTTATCTGCTCCAGTCTTGCCCATGTCAACTGGACATTTCTGTCTCTGGAAAACCTGTGGCCAGAGGACAGTGTGAAGTCACAGGGTCATCATCACTGTGGCACCCTTCTCTCATGCTCTCTGTATGTTTTTGTTTTTTTTTTTTGTTTTAAAGACATGAAGCATCAATGCAAACAGCACTGGTTGTCACAGCAGCAACAGAAAGCATTGGTTATGAGTTTTTTGTCTCCAGGTCTTGTTTCCATGTGGATTCTCCAATATTCTCCAAGAGCTGAACTCGTACTATAAACTTTTCCTTCAAAGACATTATCTAGGTCTTTTTCTTCAACTCCTTTGCCTATTTCAACAGAATACGTCACTCCCTGTTATCTGTAAGACCTCATCAAACCATGACCTTGTGTCAAATTTGTTCAAATTGGTCACTAATTACAAAAAGTATTAGAGCAAGAGCACACAATTAATGCAGGTAAAAATCTATTACTGCTACTTTTCTCCTTCTTCTTCCCACAGATACATGAGAGGATTGGCAGCCATGAATGCCACCACCACCAAGCAAAGGGATCCAGTGAAAAGAAGGGGCTCTTTCCCTTTCTTGCTTCCACAAATTGCTCCCCACAGCAAGAGACAGCCTCTGCCCATACGACCTCGCAGCCGCTTCCAGCTCCTTCCTCCCTTCATCTAATTTGCTGCAGCACAACAAAGCACTCCAAAAATAACATTTATTTTTCAAAACTGGAAAATGGCACAAACCGCCCCACAGGAGAGAATGACAACGGCATGAGTTCAGCGCGGGCTCATGAACGGACATTCCCTGCCAGGGACAGGAAACTGGAACCTCACAGAAAGAGACTGAATGGAACCAGATCGAACAAAGCGCCAGAAACCACGGCCATCGATGGCCAAATCCTGCCGAAAGGATAACTCACCTGCCTGTCAGTCCTTCACTACAGTGAGCACAACGACTGTGTCACGGCTCTACAGCCATAAACGCCTCCGCCTTGCATGTCTGCACATACAATAGCCTGGAGAGCATGCATATGAAGTGAGGAGAAATTTAAAGATGAGAAATATTTCCAACTTACAGCTTTAAAGGTGGGGATCAGCAGGGCCTGAACGTTCAATTTCAATTCTAAACTATTTTTTATTAGCGGATGTTGATGCAGTATCTCAAATGCGCTTACAGTTTCTGTTCAAAATGGTATCCTTCAGTAATGATAGAGCTGTTATGTATGAACTGCTAAACAGAGGCCACACCACTGCTGCTCAACGGACTGAAAGTTGGACAAGGCAGAGGAGGAATAAACTAAATCATTCTCTTTGAATAGACAGAGCCAGATTTGCCACTACCCTACATCTTGTATAACCATTTAGACCATGTCTATGTAGGGTAACTTTTATGAAAATGAAGTTATAAATGCATAAATCCATCTAGAAAAATTCCTTACCTATGAGAACAGAATGTAATTTTAATTTGTAAAGTAATAAAAGCTGAATGCCAAATTGTAATGCTAAAATTGAAGTCAGAAGTTGTACGAAGACAGGTTTTCAGAAGCAGTAATTTTTTGATGTAATATTTGAAAGTGATCAATTCAAATTCTGCTTTTGAAAAATGTTCTGAGCTTTGATCCTGCTCCAAGTTTAGCCCAGAATAACTATCATACAGCTGACATTAAAAGTCTCAAAAAAAAAAGTGATTTATAATGGAAACACAGAAAATAAATCACTATTTCAGAACTTCCCAACACACCACATATTAGATCCAGAAGGTCAAAGTTGTCATTGAGCATGTGAGCTCTCCCTGCTGCAGCTGAGGACAACGCACAGAAGAGCAAATTGAGTTAATGAACTCAATCAGATACACAGAATGACTCGTGCTTGAGAGGCACTTAAAGATCATAATGTACCAAGACTGTAACATGACCATAGTTAGTGACTTGCAGCAAGTTGAGAAGCAAGGCTTCCTCTGGCTAGAGCACGCAGATAAATTCACCAACGCCCTGCTGAAGAATATTTGACCATACCTGACCACCAAAATAAGAAGAGCCATTAACATCCTGAATTAATGTGCTTAGTGATTTTCAAATGAGATATTTTCATGATGGACATGGTGTGGATTCAGCAAAGTTTGCCCTTTAACAAATACAGTTCCAATTTCAAAGCTTTGATTAGGCTTAATACCATTAGGGAAGCATTACTGATTTTATGCTGTTGTTGTTACTGCTTTAACTATCAATTTCTGAACCAAAAATTGCAGACAGTGGGCTTGACCAAGAGTCAAGGTTTAGGAATGCAAAAGCAAATCCAAGGTACAGATGAGCTTCAGATGTGGACAGCCTTCACAGGGTTTAACAGGCTCTCCAAAGTTTGTCAGGTCACAGAGGCTTTTTTTTGGGGGGGAGGTGTGTGGGCACATGTGCACACATTTGTTTCTTTGTGGTTTTTGTTTGTTTTAAACACTTCTGGCTTCAGCCAGGGCAACTGGAATTCATACGAGCAGTTACTGCATGCAACAACTAAGAAAAACTCACAACAATCTTTTGGTTTATTGTATACCATGTACAAAAAAGCAAAACAAATGAAAATGATCATCTTAATAAGCAATCGTTAATCACCACCACGTGTGGCTGAAACAGCCAGATGTTTACAGTTTAAGAAGCCAAATAATACTACTACTTTTTTGTAAACATTAATGGTGAAAGAACAGTAATAATGGTTTTAGTCAATCATCATTAGTACTTGAAAGTACAAATATAAATTAAATAAGACTCAAAAAACTTGTACAATAAAATCTGCTATAAACAAAGCTAATTAAAAAGAACTGCTCTCAACCTGTGTTGTGGGTTTCATCTTGTTTTAAAATGTTTATTTTTCTGAAGTATCCGAATGAATGTTCATATCCAGATGTCCTTACCAAGAAACACGACCTTCATTCTTTCCTCATTTTTTAATCTGTTTATATTATATTTTACTTCTGATTGTCTTTTTCTTCCTTGGCAATCCTCTTTGTCACACCACTGAAATACTTCTCACGGAAAGAATTGTGTCCCCTGTATGGCATATATTGTCCATCCAACAAGTAAGAATTCTGATCTTGATCCTGCATGGTATCAAAACACAAGCATTAGATTTTAAGGTAGTACGTTCAGCATGTATTGCCACTGGTTTTCCTCCAGTCTTCGTCAACCAAATACAATCAAGAACAAAGCTGGTTTTTGGTTGTTTTTTTTCATTTGTTTTGGTTTGGGTTTTTTGTGGGTTTTGTTTTTTTTTTTAACAATTCAATGGCAAACGTTTAAGTCACTCGATTGGTTAAAAATATTACAATGCTAAGACTTCTACTAGGACTAACAAGAACACATACATTCTCCTGCAAAGTCTTAAAATCTAACAGAAGTGAAAATCCATACGCAATGAATACTCATTTGACACTGCTCAAATATAAGCTGTAAGCAGATAAAGGTTTTTTTACTGGTTATTTTGGGACTCTATGTACTCATTCAAATTTTCATTATTCTACCCTGCACAGCAAAATGATGCAAGTGTTCTATACCAAGCAGCTGAAGTTTTAACAGCGCTGCATCACTGGAAATATCTCATCTGACATCACCAGGACCCACTCTTTGGATGAATGAATGAGAGCAGAGGTACTCTGCCATGCAGACTTTTTATGAAGAAAAATATAGGGATAAGTTTCCAGAAAAACATACCATCTGGATAATTCAATCACTCAAAGGTTTGTGGAAGGCAGAAACAAACGGAACACAGGTGACTAAAAGGAGTTCCTACAGTTACTGAAGCACAACCAGAAAATTTTTTCTTGTTCAGCATTCATGTACTTTGGAAAGTTAAAGTTGACACACTAAATCCGTACACATAATACCCATAATATCTATTTGACATCAGCCAGGAATGTTATATATACAAAAATCTAGTTCATGTAGTGGCTTTATACAATTAAGATACTTGCCAACTAATGTTATCAATACTGTAAGATAAACAACACATCATACTTTAATCTGAGTGCTAATGAAAACCAATGGCAACTTTTAAAAACAGTTTTACACTTATGGTTGATGTCAGTTTATTATGTTCAATAGCAAGATGGAACTGAGATAAGCAGCCTCACACAGGACAACTGAGCTGTGCAAAGAGAAAATAAAAACAAGCGTACGAGAAAATTAAACCTCCATTCCACTAAATGTTTCAGAGTTATCTGTTCATGTCTGAAAACAAGGTTACTGTGGAATGCTTTAGCATAAGTAGTAGGAACATGGTAGTACATTTAAGTCAATATTTTCATACTACAAAAGTATTACTATGCAAGGATGAACTAAATCCTCATCTTCCCCTTTAGCTCTTTTGTAGCCTTTCCAGTCTTATACCTAGCAAGATCAACATCCCATCTTGCTCTGGATATACTAATTCACATTCTAAAGGAGTGAAACAAAAGGTTTTTCAACACAGCAAGACGTCTGCGCACATGTACAAAAGTGCCCTCTTCTGGACACAATGATATATTCTTCTGAAGCAGTTCTCATCTGCCACCCTAGCAGATAATTTAAGCATGCCACCGACTTAAATTAACCTGCTAAATGTTAAATGCCATTGGATACGTAACATGCCAAGCATGTACACCTGTAGCAGCAAATTAGTTCTATTTAAATACTGCACTGTTGGAAAATTACCTCAGTAAACCCACTGCAGACACAGCACTATCTGAGGTCTTTTGGTCACCTCTGAGAGACGGCCATCTCCAAGACATACTTTTAACATGTCCATGGGGAGCCTGGGAGGAAGAATACTACAGACAGACAGGAAACAAGCAGGATTTAAGACACACTCCTTTCAGAGCCAGCACCCACTTCTCCAAGTCTCTTATACAGGACCACTTGGAGGAAAAGAGCACTTCTTATTCCCCTAAATCTGCAGGTCAGAAATCCTTCTTTGACCTAAACACATAACTTTATACCTTTGGGATGTCTTTTAACAATAATTCTACATAATTTGTTTTGAGAAATGGATGGGATATTTCACTCTGAAGGATAATGATATATGTATGGGTCAACAGTATTTTAACATAAAAATTAATCCCACAACATCTAAGAGGTCACACATCTGTACACCATTCATCTTGATTCCTTAAGTAATAAAATGATGATTCAAGGTGAAGGGAGTAAGGAAGAAAGGAATCATCCCCTCTGCCCCCAGGCTGGTTAGGGCAAAGAGAGGATATAGTATGTGAGAGAACAAACTTTAAGCTAAACACAGCTGTAAGAGGAGCATCTGCATTCATCAAATGGAAGCAGGTTTGGTGCATCACTATACAGCAAAATCCATTTTGTAAATCCAGGCCTCATCAAAGCTATGCAAATCACTGTTCACTAGATGAGAAGAGATCTGCAGTCAGACATGGACTTCATGGAAGAGCTTACGAAGGAAGCTCCTGGCCCACATCACAGCAATTCCACTGTGAGAGCTCCTTTTCCCTACCTCTCCCCTGTACAGACTTGATTGCCCAACAAAAAGATGGCATTGCTTTAAAGAAAAATAACAAATTGGGAATTACTTCTCAAAAAAAGAGAAAACAAAGTAAGAAATCCCAAACTACCTGGAGATGCCACTCACTGTTGACATTTACTAGTCAAAACAGTCTTACGGGCAATATTCATTGCCCATAGAGAACTGATCAAAGTAATAGGAATTCTTGTATTTCAGAGACTAACAATTTTGGAATTGTTCCAGGCTGAGGAAGCTGGGGCTGTTCAGCCTGGAGAAGAGAAGGCTGCGTGGAGACCTCATAGCAGCCTTCCAGTATCTGAAGGGGGCCTACAAGGATGCTGGGGAGGGACTCTTCATTAGGGACTGTAGTGATACGACAAGGGGTAACAGGTTAAAACTTAAACAGGGGAAGTTTAGACTGGATATAAAGAGGAAATTCTTTCCTGCTAGGGTGGTGAGGCACTGGAATAGGGTGCCCAGGGAGGTTGTGAATGCTCCATCCCTGGCAGTGTTCAAGACCAGGCTGGAGGAGGCCTTGGGTGATATGGTTTAGTGTGAGGTGTCCCTGCCCATGGCAGGGGGGCTGGAACTGATGATCTTAAGGTCCTTTCCAACCCTAACTATTCTGTGATTCTATAAAATCTAACTTAGGGTATTTGATACCTACACAGGAAGCTGAATGGTTACAATTTGAACACCAGGGATAAGATGAATTTAACTCTACATAGATAAGAACTTGTCAAAAAATAAACTTCATGAAACAATTTGTTGTGACTATTTACACTATAATTTGCCCGGCCATCAGGCACCATGTCATTTCAATAGGGAAGCCAGTCAAAAATCCTTAGTTTGCATAGTGTAAGTTGGTAGAATATGCATTCTAAATATCTGACAGGAACATTTTACAGTAAGAGAAGATCTCTTGTGGAGGGTGGCAGTGTCAGTACTGCTTGTGATACACAGCTGAATGTAGAGACGAGTAGCATCTTTTTCCACTTATTTCCTTTGAAATAACTGTACATAGTTTTCAAAGCATGAAGTTTCCAATTGGTTATTCAACAGAAAACAGTGAAACTTCCCAAGAATTCATTTCCAAGTCTGATCAGCAATGATCACCCTGCTTGACATTAGGGCAGCTCCTTCCCTAGTCTGACAGCACTACCAAGATGACAAAGACTTCTTCCTTTCTTTGCAAAAGTCAGAAGAACTGAAGTAATTTGTTAACTGCTGGTGATTCTTTATTGTCATCTTTGGTTCTCACTCTGAATAATTTAAGTTCTCAAAACAGCAGGCTAATTGCTAACAACAGTTATCATGTTAAACTTTTGCTCTGAAATGTTTTATGACGACTTCTGCGACAACTGAAAACCAACAAGGCTCTTGTCAAAGTGCATGCTACCAAACTGCTTCTAGCTAACGAGTTTTCAACTCAACACTTACTTGCTCTAACGGCAACACTAAAAAAGGTGTGACATATTTCCAATAAATAATAAAGGAGTTGGAAGAAAGAGGAGGAAGCTTAAAGATAACAAGCAAGCTTTATTCCTCCTTAGATCTTGGCAGATACTAAGTGATACTGTAAAGGTTTGTATGAATCTAGCATGACACAGTTCAGCCACAGGGCAATTACCCAAATTCAGATTTTGTTTTAAAAAACCTAGAAATCTTCTTAGCCTTATGACAGCTTCCTACCACCCTACATCTGGTGCTGGACAGTAGCTATAGAAACCACTTGTACTAACGTTATACAGCTATAAACAGTACAGAGCAGTTTCCAAATCAGGGACAACAGGGTCATACCCAGGAACAGACACTGCTAAATTCAGCAGGAAAAATTCTACGCCATTAACAAGTGACCATGTGACAAGAAATGTTGGACCCATTCAGTATGGTGGATTTCTATGTCTGATGCTCTAGAGTCCTTTCATAGGCTTTCATATGCTCAGAGCTCATCCATCAGTCAAATTCTGTTTCACCTTGCTGCATAATTTCTAGGTGGCCCTCTTAGTCCTTGTCAATTAACGACCTCTCCTGCCTTTTTTTTTTTTGAAGTCCAGATTAGAAACTTCAGAACCAGGTTGCATTCACCAGCCACACAGATTCCATGTATTTCTGTAAGACAGCCAGCAGAGGAATGAAACAAATAATTCAGCAATAGCTGTAATAATTCAACATGGGGAAATCAACAAGCCTCAGAAAACAAAGGCAGACAGACTGATGGAAATTAAAGGAAACACCAAACAACCCTACAGGTAAACATTGTTAATAAGTTCACCCCTTCTGAAAACAGTTGGCTGACAGATTCCCAAGAACCCTCATGGTAAGTAGTGCTGTAGGTTTCTATAGTCCACTTTTCCCACTGATAAACCACTTACTTAAATTTGACATTTAAATAAAAAATAATCATGCCAGTTCAAATCTAGGTGGCATAGACTGAAACCTTTCAGCCTTACACAATTGTATTTTTAAGGCTTTTGAAAAATAAACTGGCACAATGGAAGGTATGCTTTTATTTGATTCGGGCTGTAAGTACTGGTTCAAACCTCCTCTGACCTGAAGCAGTATCTACTCGGCCAACAGCTTCCCAAACTTCTGCTACCACTTTATTTCAGTTCTTACATAGGAATGCCTACAGTCTTTGGAGAGCTGAACGGGTGTTTTTACTGCTTAAAAAAAGCCTCCCTTCACAGTTCAATGACGGCAGCCTCACACACAGTCTTGCCAGCTATAGTATCAATCAGAAAGTTTAATTTCAGGTTTAGAGGAATACTGGGGCAATCCATACCCATTTAATACCAGAAGGGACAATAATGTCCATAGAAAGAAGTAATACATTAGGCTAGTAAGCTCTCACCTCGTATCACTTCTGTTTTGTTCCTCTCCTGCTCCACACTCCAGGTCTTCACTTCTCCAAGTCTTCTGCCTTCTGAGTTTTAGAATACTAAAAGTCACTAGCTAGGTACTGCATTCACTTCTATTATTATGACTATAATTTAAGACTGGTGAGGAGGGGAGTTACTAATGACCACCATGGCTATCCAAAGAAGAGCCTTAAATGTTAAAAAACAAACAACTCTTCTGCTCAGACTGTCCACTTTGGAAAAGTCTATTCATATCAACACTGTGTTCAGTAAGAAATCTCCTTCCAGTTGGTGTGATTTCATCGTAAACTTAAGGAGAACAGACTGGATGCTCACAAGACAGTGACTTATATACCACCTTTTGCAAGGTTTTTAATCCAACTTTTATGATCTTCATGCTTATGATGAATTAGGATAGATCAATACTTCAACTAGACATACTCACTTTTTACATACACTCTGGTCTCCTTTATATTGCAAGCACAAGCAAATTGCACCACCAATTTCACATTTAGTAACTAATTAAATTCATCTCTAGTTAAGAGTTTAGGGTGTTAACAGTGGAATTGAATTTGCTGTGAAATCTGCAATTCATTATTGGTGGCATCACTGGGGAAACCAAAGGACTGCATAATGAGACTACACAATTTGTAGAACTTCTTAGCCACTTGCAAGTACTACATTAAGCTGAATTAAGAGGCATTTGAGAGTGCCTGTTACAAACCACTCTAGTAAAGCACACAGGAACTGTCTGGAAATGCAAATGCTTGTATATTCATAAATATTCACTTTTTGACTGGGGGGAAAAAGAAAACCAAATAAAGACCCAACTACTGAATTTTACAGTCATATCTGGGGAGTCAGAAGTATCCAATTCAAAGATTGCTCAGGTTATTAAGACAGGAAAAAATATTCCAGATAAGGGACACTCAGCAGGGAAATCCTGGATAGTTAAACAAGAAGACCCTAAACCAGCCCACGCTAGCTAAGGAGTCAATATGTATATTGTTATTTAGACAAGTTCTGCATCATCAGAAACTGCGCATGGGTCCTGGTATCTTTAAATTATTTAAAAGACATCTGGAGTCCCGAGTGTAAGCACCTGCACAGCTTTATCTAAGCAGTAAGCCTGCCAACAAGACTCAGGTGTTCAGAGCTAAACACTTCCAGACATAAACCTGTCAAAGCATGTACTGGAGAACAGGTGATGCACAAAACAAGAATAACAAATGATGAAAGTCTATTTGCAGAAGGGTGGATATATTTTTTATATCAGAACATGTTATCCTACAGCCCTGGCAGTAATAAAACTCCTGCAGAAAATTCCTACAAACACCCTGAGACACACATGTCAAAAACTTTCATAACTTACCCTCTTGGTTTGCTACTGGTGAAGTTGGCAGCTCTGGCTCTGAACTCCACACAGCATTTAAAAAAAACAGGTGCCGCTTGAGAATCTCAGTCACCATTAACAATATGAATGCAGCACTGAAACCCTGCTGTGTTACTAGTGCAAGCACCATGCAGACACAGCAGCCTGACCATTTCCTGTCATTAAAAATAGCTCTTCCAACTGACAAGGAATATACTAAAAACACTTGTTCGCTGCCTGCATGTGTTTTCATTAGGAATTTGCTTCACCTTTGTTTAGTATCTCTTTTAACAGTATGAGGCGACAGAAGCAGCAAGAATGGAAGAAGACCTGAATGAAATATTCCCTGATCCTCAAGGAATAAGCACCTTAGGAGAGGTACTTAGTGTGTCCCAAAACAGACAAACAAAAAAAAGCCGATGCCTTTCTGTACTTATGTCACTCTGTGAATGGGGTTCACAGACCTCAGTTTTCCAAGCAAAGCATATGCAACTTTCACAAGTAACTAAGTTTGGAAATTTTTATAATATAAAGCAGCCTGCTCAGGATGAAAAGTTTATAAAAAAATGAGGAGAAAAAGGAAAAGACCAAAACTAAAACAGTCCCAAGAAATGTGTGGCAATTTTATAAATGCGCTCTCATCATCAAACACTCAAGTATGATAGAAATAAGGATCAAATGCTGAACAGTATGACCTTTTCCTGAATGCAATAGCTCCTATTTTATAGGATATAATCAAGAATTCAAACTTACCTTAAATTCTTTCACCTTTTCCATAGTTATCAGGCGCCTTGATGTATGGCTGGAAAGCATCTGCTCACAGTTGCTAATAAGTTTCAGGCATGGGTGGCGAGGAATGATCTCTTCTGTATATCTGGAAGAAATAAACATTCATAGAGCTGTAAGCTCATGAGCTGGAAGTCTTGCATGTGAAACAAAATTCATACAGATTCTTCACAAAATGGCTTACACTAGAAAGTTGATATACATTTTAATCTGATTAAAGAAACTCAGGTATTGGTGATCGAGAGTTTTTACATCATAAATCCCATTTTGTGACAAACGCGTAGAAAAAATTAAAACCTCGCAGTACAGAGAATCCCCCCCACATATTCTACATTTCTGGCATTTCTTAAGGATAACAGTGAGGTGTTGAACAAGAGAGACAATACCAAATACAGACTTGAAATTAGGAAAAACCCCAAGCAGTACTACTTCTTTGCTTTGTTCCCAAATTTGCATATCTCAAAACAACCTTTCAGTTACTTCTCATGTATGTAATCAAGTCACTACTTCTGCTAGGTGAAATCAGAACATGCTTTTGACAAAGGAGAATCAAATTAATTCTCAACTTGTTTTTTTCTGTTAGACAAGACTTTTGATGCATCTATTACCCACCAAACTGCCTCTTTCTCGTACAAAGGCAGGCAACTGCCACAACATCGTAAAAAGTTTCTCTTCATGACCACATAAAAGCCTGACTGCAAAGGAATTAAAAGAATTTAGACTCAACAATGATTTCAATGTCAGATTGAAAGAGTAAACTGGAGTGAGATGCTATCTTACAGAGGGAGAGATCATTATCGCTTTGTTAAAAAGCCTTGTCTGTTAGCATCAATGCATATATTTCTACATTCTTTCAGGTAAAACTCAGAACATTGTCAAGTAAGAAATATAGTAACTTTGTTTTTAATTTAAGGTAATATACAAGATCTCAAATAACACATGAATCTGATGGCAGGTGTTGCCAAATAATATCTGATAACGCTACATATTAGTAGACAGTATCTTGCCTTCCCCCCCAAGTACCTGATGTTTGTTCCCATGTTCATCATGACAGCTGAAATTAAAGTGACTATACTAACATTCTGTGCAAATATAGGGACTTCAGTATTTCAGTTGTATGTACAAATTCACTTTTTAAGAGGCAACCCAACTAGAGCTTCAGAGAGCTGACCTCCCCAAAACAGCAACTAAAGTAGAACCAGAACACGCAGTTCCTAGTTCTCGAAAGTTAAACCTTTATACTGCTGTACTGAGGAAGCATCCTCTTACCCATGTTCAATGAGCAGATAAAAAGCTCCGGTATTTTGACAAACTCTGCTACTTTGAGAATAAACTCAGTAATTCTGAACAAAGGTTATTGACATGGCAATCTAAGAACTCACAACCACACATGTTCAGTCAGAGTTAAGCAGATACAGCCAGACATTTGAAACAATTAGCTATAATACTGTTAATGGCATTCACTGTTTTGTTTGTGAATATTCTTACAAGATAAAAAGCTTATGATACCAATTCTATCACTAAAAAAAATGCAAGCTACTGCATTCTTCTGTTAGGGAAGCATATACTTTTGACTTCCAAATTTTCAAAACTGCATGTGATAATTACATGTAGGGCTGCCACAAGACATTTCCATGGTGAAACCAGGGACAACAACCACCTTGTAAGTATAGTATGACTGCACATAAAAACACATGACATCACATAAGCTACCTTCAGAGCACATCTACACCTTAGAAACAGCTACTGTGTATTAACTTCTCACTTTACTGTGAAACAGTTTTTGGAAAAAATAAAACCACAATCCCCCCCCCTCCCCCAAACCTTAGATAAGAGATGCTGAAGTAAGGTATGCAAACAGATGTATCCCTTTTTAAACCCGGTTTTAATTTCAGGCCGCACTACTGAGCAGACAGCATCTGCTGGCCTCTCTCATCCTTAACAGGGCTGCTCCCCTGTGCTTCTTGCCTCTCACTGCCATTCTCTTGGTCACTTGGCTTTTGATTTCTCAGAAGAAAGACAAATTATTACTGACAAGCCCCAGAGCCAAGAATGTTCTCTTAAAGGACCTTGTCATGCATCTCTATCAACTACTCTACTAGAAACACATATTAATAACAGCCTTGCTACTATCTTAGAAATCTATCTGCACCTTGAAACTAATTTTTGAAGTTTAAACCTCAACCCATTAGACATGCATTTGCAAGGACAGGTGAAGGCTTTTTCTTTTTGGTAATAGTAAGGAATTATCTCCATTTAAAAACCTTATTTAAAAATCTGCTTTCCCTTATATGAAACTGTAAAATATGAAGTCTGAGCACTTCTTTTAAGTGCTAGTACTGTGGAAGTTCCAGCTGCACTATGCCCCAAAAGAAAGCACAGTGAGAAGACTTAAAGGGGCCTACAAGAAAGCTGGAAAGAGGCTTTTTACAAGGCCATGTGAAGATAGGACAAGGGACAATGGCTTTAAACTGAAAGAGATTTAGATTGGATATTAGAAAGAAATTCTTCACTGTGAAGGTGGTGAGATACTGGAACAGGTTGCCCAGAGAAGCTGTGGCTGCTCCATCCCTGGCAGTGTTCAAGGCCAGGTTGGACAGGCTTGGAGCAACCGTCTAGTGGAAGGTGTCCCTGCCCATGGCAGGGTCATTGTAACTAGATGAGCTTTAAGATCTCTTCCAACCAAAACCATTCTATAATTCTATGGTTCTACATACCAGAAATAAGAATACATACTCAGGCCTGTATATCGGCAGCCAGTAAACTAATCTTCCTCCCATCACCAAATACTCTGCCGCAAACTTCAATAGGTCAAAAAAGATGTCACTCAGATGATAACTGGATGAAACGAAGAGGTGATTTTCTGCGCTAAACAAAAAAATTTTACAAGTGTAAACATAAAAGCTCAGGTAAAACCTACATTTTTAATTAAAAAAACCCAAACCCAAAAAAACTACACAGAATAGCACTGTGATTTGCAAAACTACAGGAGTACAACTTCTATACAGCTTCTAATATGAGGAATACAACTTCCCAAATTCCCTACTGGGTCTTTATACTATCGTCTTTAGTGCTCATGGAAATCAAAGACTCATAAGCACACTGGGAATAGTTATTTTGTACAGCCCCTTTCTTAAGGGCAATTTAGAGTAAAAGACAGTAGACAAGGAAGGCCAGGCAGCGGAGAAGCCATATGTTATCTCTGAAGAGAAAGGAGCTGTGGAAATCCAAGAAAGAAGGCTAAGGTAAAATAAAAAATAAAAAAATGGAGTTATTCTATTTTAGCCTGATTTTGCATTGTGCATAGACTGAAGAGAACTTTAAGAATAGGAAACACAAGGCAATTATGGCTCAAAGAGAAACGGGATTTGGAATCTGAACACAAGCAAATGATAAGCAGGGAGAACAAAACCAAGAGGATTTCAGGAAGTGACATGCTAATTTTGCAAACAGAGCAGAATGAGCTTTTGTTCTTTATTTATTATTACTACCTTTTTTTTTTTAACTGCTGATGGGCAAGCAAGAAATAATAAAGATTCTAAAATTGTGACTGCCTTTCCACGAAGACATTTATATTCTACAACAGATAAGACAGCTCACCTACCTTCTTTCAGCTGTCTTAACTGTTTCCTTTTGTGAACCCGTTCTGCGAGTAGCTTCTCTGATACCATATGGTGCTATACAAAGCAAACACACAATGCAGAGATGAGAACCTCACTCTTTGTTCAAATAACATACAGTTACATTAGACATACACAACAGTGCACAAACTGTGACTTATACAAAAGCTCTTACAAAGTAGAAGTCGGTCATGGTAATTTCCTCAAGATCTATTAGAAGTTCCTTGCTCAAAAAGGTTACTTTAAAACTGTTTCAAAGAAAGCCCTTCAGCTGTAAGGCACTTCTAGCAGCCTAGGTGTTTACTGCTCTACATAGGACAATGCTTTCCTGTTTTGTTCATTAAAAGATATTCCTTACTTTTGCAATATGTGACTAACAATCTCATCTTTTTTTGACAGACACAAACATCTCCCCTGTAGCACTTAGCTATATATTTTTCAAAATGAAATTATATATATTGGAATTTCTTTCCACCACATTACAGAAATGGTAAGACAGGTAATAAAAGCCAGAGATGGCTTTTTCTTTTGCATTTTTACACATTTCCAATAGCATAATATACTTCATGTTGAACACATCTGGTTGTGCGAGTCTTTTGTCAGCATCATGGAAGCACCAATATAACCATTTTGCAAATGAAGAAGTTGTGACACAATTCACAAACTTAGTTCTAAGTCGTATTAATATTCTACATTGCCTTATTGCCAAATAAAAATTAGCAGGCAACCCACAAAGCTGCACTCCCTATATTCTCATTAATATGAATGTGTCATCATAACAGCCAGCACCAGAGATCAGAATTGATGTATCAAGGTCTTTTATTTATTCTCTTAGCCTCTACTCCCTCTCACGCATAACAAATGGAGTTAAGTACAAAAGATTTCTGAAAGAGTGAAGGATCCTTTCAAACTGCTAGTGTGCCTAGTAGTTACGTGTATCAGACATGCACTAAAACTTTCTTCTTGGAAACATTCCAATAAGCATTTAAGTCTCCAGAAGTCCATCAGAGCTGCATGGCCGATTCCAGTGTGCTGCAATTCAAATCTTAACAGCAACACGGATCATCCTGTTAACAAGTCTCTGTGCCTCAGTAAAGTTATGCCTTTACTGAATGAGACTTCCTTGAAGGATGATTTTCAACCATATTGATTTCTAGTGGCAAATATAATATGCTGTCCATAGAAGAAAGTATTATAGCCAACTTTGTTACACATCTGTAACTATCCTTAAAATAAATGCAGAGATGTCAAATGCAGATTTCCACAGTGCTGCTCTCAACAGTCAACTTTCACAATATGAAAACTGCAGGGCTGAGCACTCATCAACACATTAATTCAAAGTACATAGGCAATAATCTTTTAGTCACTGTTATCAGGCAACAAAAAGCAGTACAAGCTTACGATCTGTAATGATTGCATCGAACAGCATCCCTTTTCGCCATATTGGTCTTGAAGAATCAGAAACTAGTGCATCGAGGTAATATTTCTCTAAACCATACTGTCGGAGATTAGCTCTGATATTTTCATCTGGCCCTCTCCATTTCTGGTTCTTTCTGGTTGCTTTGCCTGAGGGGAGAAGCACATGGAACTGAAAAAAACCCATACTCAACAACAAACTATTTTATAGGAAACGCTTTCAGAAACTCTGATTCAATTTAAAGGAAAGTAACTGTAACATTCAAAACCAGGGTTTACCTCCTGACTTATTCTACTCACTGTCACAAATACTTGTGATAAACTTCACAAGTAACAAGGAATAATGAAAATACATGACAAATTGTACAGCACCATCTGCACAGGGTATCTAAAAATGTATTTATAATAATGCTAGTTTGTATGATGTTCTCACTATACATCAGTCATAATTGTGTCTAATGACTCAGATACAATTCGCACTGGAGTCTTTCAGAGAAGTAAGAATGGGATTAATCTTCCTGGGTTAGAATAGAAGTTTCCCCCATCACAGACTAAGAAAGCACACAGCTGTTGTAACTACTACTTGGAACCTTGTTTTGGTTTTTATTATTCCTTTTATTAAATCTTTCCTGATTAAGTAAGAGAGCAGCTTAACTAGGATACATGTAAATTAGTTAATAAAAATAACCATGACCAAATAAATCCTGTGAAATTGATGTTGCTTTAAAATCCACTAAGTATTATCCGCTACCATCAGTATTCTTAAATTCCAGAGAGTAAGATTTCTGTGGCTTAGAAATATGCAACATACCTAATCCATGGATTGTATTGTAATCTATATCGGTACCACAAACATATGCTCCAAAGTGTGCTGAGGAGATTAGAAGGCCACCTATAAAGAGGAGAATAGGAGAAAAATATAAACTGCTGCCATAAATGTTACCTGTGCTAGGACTTTTTTCTCGGGAACTTCAGGAGTTTACACCAGTAGCAGCACACTACACCCAACAAAAAAAAAAAGAAAAAGAAAAAAAAATATCAAACTAAAACTACCAACCACTTAGAATCACGATGCAACTATAACCAGAGCTAATAGCACTTAATAACACTAAGTCCCTTGTCTGCTATACCTATCTTCCTTATCTCGCTATGCCCTATGTCACTCCTTATTGCTGGAGACTGTTCTTAGGAGCTTGCTTACGGTTTTCTGTATTTTGAGACAGTAAGATCCTTTAATCGTTACATGAACTGAAACTTTTAATTCTACCCGGCAAGGAGCAAAATTTCAAATTGTTAGAAAATTCAAATTGTCAGAAAAATCATTACAAAACAAATGGCAATTCTACCACATCTGTTCTCAAAGTCCATCTCCTTAATTCTGTTTAAAATCAATCCTGTTGTTGATTTTGGCCACTCCCTGAGTAAGAAGCAATGGTCAAGAATCTTCTAAATATTTCCAGCGTAAACAGCAACATCAAAAAGTTTTCTCTGATTGTTTTGCTGTGTGAAAACTATATTGAGATGCATTTTTCTGTGAGTATGCTGCCTATTTTGTCAGTATATTTATCAGCATGCTCACCCTGGAACTAAACTATTTTATTAAACATTACTATAGTGATCTGCTTTCCTAATTAAAAACAAAGCAAAAAGCTAGAAAAGTTCGTGTGATTTCCCCTTGAAATTTGGCAATGATTGAACAGCCCACAGTAAAGAGCAAATTATTTTGTCTCTTTAACAGCGTTCAAATGAAAAAATGGACGGACAGCAGGAGACTATCAAAGAGCTGTGCTGTCAAGTTGTTAATAAGGAGGTATGCAGTTCACATGATGAATTAATGAGAACAAGGCTGTGAACCCCACACTACTGATGTCAGCTGCTTATGGATACAAACAATCCTGCTAAAATAAAAGGGATGACTGCTAAAGGACGAAGGGTTGAGCAAGCAAGCTTGCTGTGCAGGTGACTCCCTTTCACTGCAGCGTGGAGTGGCATCTCAAATGGCAGCATTGCTCCATGCCACCCATTGAGCACTGACAAATCCCTAACATGCCCTGCATGCACAGGCTAAAATCCCTGTCCCGGGCACTAGAAAATTCCTACACAGTGTGCTAATGAACTTTACCAAAAGTGAAGGTAAGGGAGAAAACCAAAAAGAATTCCTCTGCTTTTTGTTGTGAAATGGATCAGGGAAAAGCAAGGTTACTCACCCCAGAGGAGTCACCCATTTCCCTTCTTGGCTGCAATCCCTCAGAACAGATGGGCAGTACCTCCAGAGGGTCAAGACAAATTTAGCTAGCCCTGACCTCAAGTATGTCATACCACCCAGTCCTATAAAAAAAGTAAGAAGAAAGTACTTTGCCCATCTAAGAATGTTTTTAATCACAGAGGAAAAAAGGGTTTTAGTTACAAAAACATGGATTTACAGCTTTTAATAAATTTCAGGTGGTACTAGCTCAATTGTGCTCACACAGAAGGTACATGAATACTTAAAACTCTAACATGGCCAGCCCTTTGCCCTACTATGGACAAAAGAAATGCAATCAAAGGGTTAATCAGTGAATCACTGTCTCCCCAGTGATTATCAGCAGAATAATGGTGGCACAGAACTTCACACCTTTCTATCCTACTCTATTTCCCTCATCTCTTCAGCACAGGTGGGGCCCTGGTCATACCACTATCCTCCAGGATGTCAAAGAAAACATTTCTGTCATTTGCAATTATGCAGTATCACGAATCGGCAAAGTAGGGACAAATATCTTTCAAAGGTATAAACAACAAGCTTACTGAGCTATCCTGAACAGATTGTCTAGGAGAAAGTACAAAGCATTCAGGTAAAAGACATCATTTATTCTTCCAGAAACCTCCAGGTTTTCTTCTGCCCAACACTGAGGAAAGGATATCTAAACAGTTTATAGAAATTCTGTTTTACAACTCAAAACCAATCCTAGCCAGCCCAATTCTGTTTTACAAAAAAGGGGACTCAAGTCTCCTAAACCAGCCTGGCCAAAAGCACCTTTTAGTCCAAGGACAAATTCCAATTGCCCACTCTTACACAAATGTGGAAGATTTGTGTTGGCTCAGCCAGCAAAAACAGTTTATTTCCAACAAGCAAGCACCATCTTGCTAGGCCATTCTAATTTGGTACTATTAACCTTTTCAGCATAAAAGCCAGGAAGAAGCCAAGCCAGGTATTAAAAGTTGCACCAATAAAGAAATCTTCAAAATGCTCCTCAAATCCTGAATGTATGTTCTTTCCAAACCCATCTGCTCAAACTCACTGCATCGCTCTCAACTCTTAACTATCTCACAGAATTACAGTGCCAGGGCACTGTTGCACTGACAATCTGGAAAATCCTCTAAAGGACCTCAAGAGACAACTGAAATTCCTGGGGTTTACCCACCAAAAGTAGGTGGCAAAGGCTACTGTTTACTTGTTTAGTTATAAATACACTTTACTGACAAATGGTGTACTACCCAGTATCTCCAACTTCCCAAAGTACACTTAAATATCAAGCCAATATAGTCCAGATGTCTCATACAGTAAACCCACAAAAACTGCAACTGAAATCATTAGGCAATCTGAGGAGAATTTTGCATATGCTACCTTCGGAACTGAAACACCTCTTAACATTTATCTTGCATTTATTAACATTTATCTTGCATTTCTATAGCTTCACCACTTCAATGTGATTTACGCTTCCTTTCTTTTCCTCAATTTTCACTTCCAAGGAAATAAACACTCTCAGAGAATTTTGTGTTTTAAGTTTAGCAGATTTTTGTAAAAAGATACAAAACCATAGATACCAAAATGAAACAATCTGCTTAGAAAAGAGGCAGAGGACTTTCGTCAACCTTTCAAAGAGTACTACCCATCTACAAGGAACACAAGAACAAAGAGGAGGAAATTTTGTAAGACATTATGGTGCATGCAGAAAAACAGGTCATAAATGAACAAGAATTTAAGAGAAAAACATACAGTTACAGAAGCCTCATGTTTCTGAAAATATTATATCCCTGGTCGGTTTTCTATGGTACAAAGAAGCCACATACTAATATAAATTTGTCCTACTAGTGACACTGTAGTGTTGTGTTCCCTCCCCCTAACTTCTCTTGCAGTGATTTCCACAGCAAATTCTCTTCATCTTCCTATTAATGTAAGTATTTTTCATTGTACGTGTCTCACATGTCACCTTCTTGATCAAAGTTTAGCAAATCCAGGTCAGAAACATAGCCTTTGCTATGCTTTTGGAGATACTACTATCAGTAGCTTAAGATAATATGCAGTTGTATGATTATACGGCAGGAGCTGACACAATAGATCTTCTATTTCACCTACAAATAGCTGAGTTTCCCTTAGGCAAAAAGCGCGTCTATGCCACACAGAGAGTAATATGTGGAATAAGAGCTCCCCCTCCCGGCTCAACTAGGAAAAGTTCAGCTGGGGGCGAGTAACTTGTGTGAGCATTATCCTGAAGACCAGACATGATGGTACAGGGAAGTGATCGCTATCTTGAATGCTATAACCTAACTATTGCCATATTGTGTTATATGCTCAGAAATGCCCTCAGCACTCCTCTAAAAAGCCACCTCCACAAATGCTGCTCCTTGTAACATTCTGAAAGCAGCTGCAGGGAGCACTCTATCCAAATACTAGTTTTTGGTCACCTGGTTGCCTTAAGCAGTCCATGACAACCACGAAGTGGTGTTTTAAGACATGTTACATAAAGTAATACAGTGAAGACAGACTTATCAGAAGTGTAAAATAAACTGCTTACATTTTCTGAAGTTGGTCTCCTTCCCCAAAAATCCCTTTCAAGTTAACAAAACATTAATTTTAGAATCACCATTTTGCTTTTGTATCATCTCAATTACTAGTCGAGCACCAGAAGCCACTGCACCAGGAAAAGTGTGGTGCAAACAGTAACACAATCCCCAGTTTTTCCCACCAGTAGAAAAAAACCAAATATATACCTGTTCCCACAAATGGATCATATACAACATCATTGGGTTTTACTCTCCCATGGTTTGCCATAATGAAAGACAGGCAGGCATCCATGCTCGTGTTTCCAATGAAGTGTCTCTTTTTCACACTGTAGGGCTCAATAAGTTCTCTTTGGCCATCTGCAATCTGTTGAAGCATTTAAAAATCCCTGTCAGGTCTTAGATACATATATAAGCAGACATCTAACAGCTGGCAAGAACTGAAGCAAGCATACTCACGCACCCATCTACCAAAATACAGGTGAAAAGGCTCCTCTGGAACATTATTAGGGTCCATTCCATAATCTTCTAAAATCCAAAAGATGTGTTCTGGTTTCTTTAAATTTACTTTTCCTTTGAACGGCAGAAATTCAAGGGCCTGTACAACAAAATAAAACAGAATTAAAAAGTAACAGGGTCAAACCTTTTCAAGATGCACCCCCCAAAAAAAAAATAAAAACGGAAAAAAATAAACCACAGTTGTGAATATGATACATTCTCAATTTTCTCTGGATTTACAAAATCTTTTCTCTTGTAACTAAAGATAGCTCAAATGATTAAGGATTAGATATCAGGAACTATGGTTTTTATTAACTGAAGAGAATCCAACTTTAGAATAAATGAGCTGTACATATTATACAATTTTCAAGTTGCAGTGATGATGAAGAATGGAATTTAAAATTTCAGTGATGCGCAGCTACACCAATTTACACAGTCAGCATTACTTTATGCACACAAAAACTGAACAAACAGGAAAGGGCAGCTACTATGAATACAGATAATTTCAGTCTCAGTGAATTAAGTACATAGACTAAATAGGTGCTAAAATAAAATGTGGGAGAGCAAAAACTAACAGTAATTTAGAAAAACAGGCTAATTAAAATACTGATATAGTTAGGAGAGCACAAGTGTAGACAGGAGCATAAGTACAGAACAGAAAATCAGCCCACAGCCTGCAACTTAAGTCACTTGTTCCAGATTCTACAACAATAAACACCTAAGATGGAGATCAAGTAACAGATTTTCTAAACACCTAGCACCTAACACTAGCCACTTGAATCCTATAGCTCTGGGCAATAAGCTTTAGTTTCCCAGGACACTGGGCTGAAATCAGCAGTGGTATTTGTCTTTACATATGCCTTATGTGGTCTGTTCAGAGAAAAAAAACAAAAAACAAAACAAAGTAGTGAATTTTGAGGCAATGTTAATTCAGACACAAAGATCTCATTTAGAGCTTATTAGACATAAGCCATAAACTGCATTAAGACCTTCAGGAAAACAAAAACTAAATATACAGATAGCATGGAGTTAAGAACAACATGAACAGATGAAATTAAATGTCAAAGATTCTTAAACATCTACTTACATCTATCTTTTTTATTTTCTGTGCTTGAGTCAGTGTTTTGTTAAATGTATGAATATGTATTTTGTAAGTAGAGTCTGACTGCAGATATGGAAGCTGAAAAAGAAGCAAAGACACTTTCATTTGTACAGCTTCATTGCATTTTTAATGACAAATCTGGTCATTCTACAATTCTACAATGGAACTATGGCATTGGTGGATAGGAACAGGGCAACTGATGTCACCTACCTGACCATGTGCAAAGTGTTTGACACTGTCCTGCACAAAATCCTTGTTTCTAAACTGGAGAGGCATAGATTTGATGGATGGACACACACATGGTGGAAAACAAACTGGCTGGACAGCCACACTCAAAGAGTTGTGGTCAACAGCTCAAAGTCCAAGCGGAGATGGTGGTAAGTGGTGTTCCTCAGGGGTCACTATTGGGACCGGTGCTGTTCAGCATCTTCGCTGGTGACAGTGGGATTGAGTGCACCCTCAGCAAGTTTGATGATGACACCAAGCTGTGTGGTTTGGCTGATATCCTGGAGGGTAGGGATGCCATCCAGAGGGACCCTGACATGCTTGAGAGATGGGCCATTGCAAACCTCATGAAGCTCAATAAGGCCAAATGCAAGGTCCTGCACCTGGGTCAGGACAATTCTAGGCACAGTTACAGGCTGGGCAGAGAACAGATTGAGAACAGCCCTGAGGAGAAGGGCTTGGGAGTGTTGGCTGATGAGAAACTCTGCATGAGCCAGCTTCAGTGTCTGCTCGCAGCCCAGAAATCAACCGTATCCTGGTCTGCATCAAAAAGACTGTGGCCAGCAGGTCAAGGGCCGTGATTTTGCCCCTCTGCTCTCGTGAGACTCCACCTCAGGGTTCAGCTCTGGGGCCCCCCAACATAAGGAGATGAACTTGTTGGAGCAAGTACAGACGAGGTCCAAGAGGACGATCAGAGAGCTGGAGCACCTCTCCTATGAAGACAGGCTGAGACAGCTGGCCTTGTTTAGCCTGGAGAAGGCTCCAGGGAGGCCTCAGAGCAGCTTCCAGTGCTTAAAGCAGGCCAATAGGAGAGCTAGAGAGAGACTTTTCACAAGGGCATGTAGTGACAGGGCAAAGGGGAATGGCTTTAAACTGACAGAGGATTGATTTAGATATTAGGAAGAAATTCTTTAATTTCTGTGAGGGCACCAAGGCACTGGCACAGGTTGCCCAGAGAAGTTATGGCTGCCTCATCCCTGGAAGTGCCCAAGGCCAGGTTGAACAGGGCTTTGAGCAACCTGATCTAGCAGAAGGTGTCCCTGCCTGTGGCAGGGGGCAGAACTAGATGATCTTTGAGGTCCCTTCCAACCCAAAACATGCTATGAGTAAGGAACCATTTTATCCACATGCTTTATAAGCATACCATCTTGTCCACTGGATAGTTCTTCAAAGATGCATAAAGCTCTCCTGCAGATCTTCCATGACCCCACAGTTCAAATATAGATCTGAAATTACAAAGTTTAAGAGTGCAGTAATGTGGAGGGACAGAAATACCTTACAGTTACTTCTTCCTTTTAATCTTCTTGGACAATGTACTTAGGCTTTGCTTCATGGATTGCTGAAATTCACTCTTAGCACATGCTTAGGTTTTATTTTTAACAGGACACAATTTTATTCCCAAGGTGGTATTTCAACTATGCTTTTTTGTTTGGTAACATGTACTAAAACGTAAATTTCAGTCTTAGTACCCTTGGCTATCACCAGACCTTTTTCTAGCACACAGTGATATCAGCAAATGAGACAAAATCCATTCGCACCTACCAATTTGATGAGGTAAGCAAAGGCTGAAAAAGGTCAAGAGCAGTGTTACGCTTCCCTGGAGTAACACAAATAGTCATTATATGCAAGACACAGTTTCACATCTCAGAGGTTCTGTCCCATTTCAAGATGTGGTTATGATGTTTGACATTTTGAGATGCTGAAATATTGTCATCTTATTTTGTCCGTTTTCTTAATGTCAGCTTTAAGTATTGCCTTGAAGATAAGAGAACTGATGCTACTGTAATGAAGGCTAACACTACATCACAGACCTCTCCCCCAGCATTCAAATATCCCAACCAAGTGGCCTTTCCGTATCAAAGAAAAAAAAAACACCTTTTAGTGCAGGAATCCTAATGTCATGACATTTGTTGTTAGACACTCATATGCGCATTTGCAACACACTATAAACACAGTCTTTAAGGACTAGAATGCTATGGAGCACCTTTTCAAAGAATTTTCAAAGATTTAGCTCACTCAAACAAAAACAGAACTACATTTTACTAAGTGACAACAACAGATATCAAAGCCCAGTGACAATTTTGTTAAAGTAATCCTTTCCTGAATAAATTAAGGCTATATTTCTAACCTGCACCCTACCCTGAAAAAGAGAGTACTTTTTTGCAGTGTCTATTTTTTTAATGAAAGCATCTGATTCATCCACTGTGAGAATTTAAGCTATATTTATAGACAAAGCAATGAAAATGCTGACAGCATAGGCTATCAGAGAACTGAATCTTTTAATTTTATTCAACTTTTGGAGAAACTCTTTTATCAGGCCTGCTTCTTACTTCTACATTTACATGTGTAGCCAAGGGGAGGAAAAAAAACAACACAAAATGTTGGGAAGATTTTGCTTAGATAAATGTATGTTTCAGAACTTCTAATTTTTATTAGCGATGAAATGGAGATGCTTCAGCAATCTTACTCTAAAATGAACATATCTCCCCACAGCCAGTAATAGGTCAGTAAGAAAAATCTGGACCTGTTACGCTTTCTACATCAGATAAGCATACATTAGCTGAGAGAGCATGGCATATGCAGCATCTGCAAACTTCTTTAGACATCTATGGCTGCTTTTTGAAGTACACTACAGCTTTTCTCCATTGTAAATATAATGCCATAAAGACAATTTTGTATACATGGGGTTTCTTTAGGCAAGAGTGGACAGCCCACGTCACTGTAGGTAGAACTGAACACCTGACACAAACAACACTCAACAGGGACTACGTGACACTGCACAGAGGCACCCAAACTAACTCTGAACAAGACAGCACAGACTTAGTATGGTCACAGAGCCATACCACAGTCATGTTGCTTCTCATTCTGAACCATATCTCTGAGGTATCCCTCAAGCCTCAACAGAAAGCATGTTATTCAGACACCTCTAAAAAGGACCAAAAGCAGCTGGAGCAATCACACTGTGGCATATTCCTGTGGTCTTGAATTTTCTAGAAAGACCTCTGCTGCAGCAGTCTGGGCTGAGGGGCTCTGAGCCCTACCAGCACTAGGAAGGTCCACAACCTTTCCCTTCCAAACAGGATTTTCATTTTTTTTACATATCACTAGTTTTAACTTTTGATTCCAGACATATTTTAAAACAAGCCAGTAACTAAACAGTACTCAAGGCAACTAAAACACTGTGACACTACAGGTCAAGTACTGGCTCTGAATTGAAGGACACCCTTTCAAGATCCTGCACTGATTGTACACTAAGTAGAGAATGGGCATGCTACACATTCAGTCCCATAGGCTCCAGTAATGCCTTCTCAATTCTAGAAGTAATCAGAGACTGCTTAAGACTCTATACAAAATTAGTACTAATTTTATATACATATATATATGAACAATTTTCCACCACCTACATTACCATTTACAAGATTTTTCACCTCTTACTTTGCACATACTGTCCGTTTCATCAGTCCCCTTGCCATCTCTTCTGAAGGAATACTGAGAATCCAAAATGGAGACTGAAATAAAGAGACGATAACTGAGGCAAATACCGAGCTGGAGGATGTCACATGAGTTACAAAACTACACGATTCTGTTCTATAAAAACAGAACATGCATGCTGAAGATTTTAAGAATAGATAAACAGGTGAACTGTGCAGAGAACATAAAACTTTTAATTCGAGACAAACATGTATACTTGGCTTCAGTGTCTGAGAAATTAGTAGGTATTCCATTTTCCCACTGCATCTTTGACTTGGTAAAATACTATTATTTATGCTTCTCTAGATTATTCATCCTCTAAAGACTCAAAATACCTCATTATGCACAAGCAGTAAGTAAAACTTAGTAATGTTCTCTGAGTAAGCACCAAGACCACAATCATAGCGCTTCCTAGCTTCACTCTTCCAGATACGCTGCATCACTGACTTAGTCAAAACACTAAATTCAAGCCACTGCTGACTGATTTCGTGGCTCGGATATTCCGAGAAGGCAGGAGAGCCTCCCAGCAGGTGGCACTGCCTCCTTTCACACCGTGAATTTAAGCCATTCTGAGGTGCATGTCATGCATCTTTTACTCAGTCCCGAGTCTTTACTGAATTTTAGAATTGACTGGTTTTGGAAGATTCCTTATTTCCCTCAGAAAATTCCAAATTTATTCAGCTACCCGCATTTAATAAAAATACTACAAAAATCATACTTGAAAACCATACCTGCACTCAAGTAAAATATTAAGTTCTCACTTACATTTACACGAATTTCCTGCTCACCGCTGAACTGTCCACCGTGAAGTGAGAGCAAAGATTTTATTTCCTAAAGTGAAAATATAAAGGTCAGTTTTTAGAAGCATTAATTAATGTTTCAAAGAAAGGAAAGGGAAAAAAAAAAAAAATCAGCATGCCATAAATTCTAATGCAGATGGTGACCTCCATAGGAATTACAAGCAAAACATTAGAGACAGCAACAGAAGAATGAACAGTTTTTATTACCAACTAACTGTGGGAACTGACAGTGAAACACTCAACATAGATGTGTGGACAGAGCAGAGATTTACAATTAAATTCAGCTCTTATGTACTGTTCATGAACTGAAAAAAAATTAGACTCTCCTGGAAAAACAGTCTCTCACAACATTTCTCTTACAAAATTATTCTATTCTTCAAATATTTTTTAGACTTTCATGTAAAAGCCATGTCTCACCAGTAACACTGACCCAGGGCCAGGCCCAGCACTGAGCATCAATTCCTTTTCTGTTACTTCTTGGCTTTATGGGTATCTCAACAGTTTTCTTCCATAGGTGTCTTTCCCCAAGTAAATTAAGTCATTAATTTTCCAAAGTAAATGAAATTGAGCATTTGTAAATTTGCAAATGAAACTGACATTGCCTTATTTGTTTCCATTTGCATAGAAAGGACATAAGAAAACACTGGAAGGTCTGCTCTAAGAGAATAGAAGTTTATGCACAGCTATTTCGTTGTATGGTACTGGGATAGAAAAAGCACCTGAGATTTTACATACAGTATCACCGGCATCTCCACACACTACTAGTAATATTATCTACAGCAAAGTAACAAGAAAGAGAAGCATAAAAATCATGACCTGTGAGAAAAGGCTTGGAAAGAAATGCAAACATGACCACTACACACATAAAGGTTGCTGATAAAAGAAGGTAATATTTTTGACATTTACTAAGAGGAGATGAGAGCACTGGCTTCGGATGACAGCAGTGCTGCGGATGAGAGGTTGGGAAGATCCTTACAAAAGTAAGGACAGTGAAGCACCGGAACAGATCTGCCAGAAAATGCTGGTAAGTGAACATCTGACATGCACCCACCTGTCCATCACAGACACTGTGTGCTGGAAAAGGAATCAGGATGCCCGATGTCAGCCCTCAGTATCTGACCCAACCAAAGAGAAATCCCTGACTATGGAGCACAGTTACCTAACGACTAAGAAATAAGAAACATGGAACTTCATCCTACAGACACTTAACCACAAATGTTGGCTTCAACCACCACCTTGTGCTGTTGTGATCCAGCACCATCACCAGAAGAAAAGCAGGCCTCTTGTATCCCATATGCAGGTGTGCTACAGCTGGAGATCAGGCAGCTGGATCTTGCTAAGAAAGTCTGTCCTTGCTTGTTTCATTATGTTTCAGACAAATCAGGTCCCTAATGCTGCTCATTACAAAGCCAAAGGTGTGGCTGAGCAGTCACCAGAGTACAAGAAAAGGGAAATGGAGCTCCTGGAACAACCAAATAGAACTATAACCTTCATGGGAAAAAAAAACAAAACAAAACAAAAAAAAACAAAACAAAACAAAACAAAAAACACAAAACATATGGATCATCTTTTCTTTACTTAAAGACTTTGCCTAAAGAAAAATTGGTTTGATCATAAACAAATTCGTGTTCCAGTCCCACAAAGCAGACAGCAAAAAAAAAGTATGCACAAAAGCATGAAAAATAATGAAAACAAATTATGCCACACACATTAAGCATTTAAAAACGTGTAAGGATGACCCACCAATTCTAACAAAATAACTCTGCATTTCAGCACTACTTTAAACAACAGCACACTACCCTGGATATCTTGTTACTAGCTCTTCAAGACGGTGCCCAGTGGAGCGCTTAGGGTACCAAAATTTTCTTAGTGTAACAAAATTTTCTTAGTGTAGTAACACTAAGTCATCCTGGGAAAAAAAAACAAATCATAAGCTAAATTTCCAAATCAGAGGACTTTCTTATAAACCCATAAATTGAGTGTTATGTTAAACCAGACATTCACCAAGGGTGCAGAAAAAAACATTGGGACCTCACAAAGAATAGTAGGGAGCTTCAGATGTTACTTTTTTTTTGTTTTACGTGATTTCTGCGAATACCGCTCAGTAAGATGAAACCAATTTGGTGACGGCAAACAAACTCTGCACCACAAAATTTGCAGCCAAGAGGCATAAACATGTCCATGGCAAGCAGACTGCAGAACTCGAGGCAGCAGGACCTGCTGGCTTCCGCACCCTCTGCGCTATCCTACCACACAGGGTCTGCTCACTGGTCCTGTGTCAGCCAGAGTGGCACAAACCCTTCTGACCACACGGAAACCAATACTCAGGATCGAAAGCCAGAAGCGAGCAGCCTTCGGTGCCGTCAGTAAGACTCTGAGGAGGGTGGCTTGTGACCAGGACTCCAGCCAAGGCACTGGAGACCTCCATCAGCTCCCGGCCTGCGAGGCAGACATTTCAGGGAAGCCCCATCCTAGCTGCACCCCAATAAAGACATCTGGCCCCTCCTGCCCCACACAGCTCCATCAGTGACTGGGTCAGAGAGGATCTTACCTGTTGCCAGGGCAGCACCAACCATTTATGTACCCACACTATGCCAGTGACAGCAGATACATAGTTTAAAAACAAAAATAGTCACCACAAGACTTTAAAAACACTTCTGTAAACAAAGATTTCCCTACCAGTTCCCATTTCTGATCCGAAGCCCCTGGTACTTTGCTGGCAACCTCTCCTAGCTCCAAAGGCTTTTAAAAGCGGCAAGGAAAGTCCTGCCTTAAAGGGACCATGAAGAGGCACTCCGTGGAGGCTGAACCAGGAGGAGGAAGCCACCTCCCGCTAAGGCCGAAGGGGTAGCCCCGCGCCCAGGACCACCTGACACAGGACGCGGAGAGCGAAGGGCCCCTGGCGCCCTTCGCCCGGCAGCCGCACGCGCTCCCAAGCCAGGCGGCTCTGGCAGGAGGCGAGGCGAGGCTCCACCGGGACCGGCCACTTCCCGGGCACGCCCGGAGCTGCTCCCGAGGGCAAAGGCTCACTCGTCCCCCACCACAACAGGCCGACTCGCCCGGGCCCGGGCCCAGTCACCAGCCCCGACCCACCGAAGTGCTCACCGGCAGGCGGAACTCGAGGTGCTCCTGCGCCAGCAGCAGCAAGTACCGCCGGAGCGATACCGCCTGCACCGCCATGTCCAGCCATTCCCCGCCTCCCCACGCCGCATGCGCAGCCGGGCGGGCCCAGCGCCGCGGCGGGAGCCGGAGAGGCGGGAGCGACGGGAGGAGCCTGCCCGCCTCTGGGGGAAGGTGATGTTACCAACCCCACCACAGCTACCGGTAAGGGGTATGGGACCAATAGACTCCGCTGTGCGGTTCCGCCGGGTGCGGAGGCAATAGCCGCGGCGCGGGGACAGGATAAAGTACGGCTCTCGGTCTTAATTAATAACTGCTTATTTCACCTCCTTCTCACTCTTTTTTTAACTTACGTCACCTGTCAGTGCAGCGGTACCGGTATATAAAGAAGCAAATAAATACATGTGTACTAGTCACGGGGAAGGCTGCCGTTTCGGGCCGCGCACCCTTGTCCGCGCAACTGCGGCCTCGCCTGCCCCGGGCAGAGCCCTCCCTCGGTAGAGCAGGTCGTTAATAACACCAAGAATTAACAGGCGCCAGAGGGGACACGTCCGTTTTTCCAGGGGAGGGAGGTCAGCTTCGGCGGCGTGGGGGTAAGAGCAGATAGAGACAGATTCCCGGTAAAGGGGCAGAGAGAGATGTGACTGTCCAACAGGGGCTCAAAATAACCAAACAGGTCTTTATATTGCATCTATTGTTTTAGTAACATTTGGACTTGCTAGCTATAATCCCATACTGCTCTCCGTGTTACGCTGAGCTGAAAAGTTTGGCTTATCCAGATTTCGCTAAGCTTTTTATTAGGACGAGGCCAGCTCAGTGCTGAATTCATGTTCTGTATTTTCTGTGCTGATTTTTAGACAGCCTTTTTTTTTTCCTATGGCTAAGATTTTGCTCATGACCTGTGAGCCCTGCATGGGCAGTGTTCTCTGTGGCCCTCCATAATCTCATTTTGCAGCTTCTCCTGTTCTGTTTTCCTGCAGTAATCAAAACTCAGGCTTGCTGTGAAGCTTTAGCTGTGACCATTGACAAGAAAACAATCTAAATGTGAACTTCCCTAGACGAGAAAGAGGTAGATATGGATCAGAATTGTTCACCTCAGCAGCTGAGTGTGGAGACCCAGCAATAAACACTGAACTGCTGACAAACCCCATGTGTCTGAGGTTGCTTCCAAAACCTTGAGATTGCTGAAAGGCATGTAGTGGAAGAAGTCTGCTTTTATTTTTCCAATCTGTCTCCCTTTAAATGTCTTAGCTGTATATCTCCCATTTTAGAAACCCCTTATAAGGGAGTATTTGGTACTGGTTAAGCTGAATCTCTTTGAGACTTGCTTACTTTATCTAGAGAACACTGCTGTCTGCTCTCAGAAGGTGAATGCCTGTTTTCCAGTGATACTGTTTTCCAGAGAATTTAAGTGAAGTCCTGTTTTTTCCTGGTTTTGTCTTGAGGATCCATGCAAAATCACCGGCAGTCTTTATGTGCTGCTCAGGACAATTTGAAAGTATATGTATGTTAATAAGTAAGACTTGAAGAGTATTTGATTCTGACATAAAAACAAAGTGCTTTTTAGATGCTGTGTTTGTAAACTGTCCTGGGTTCAGCAGTAGCAGTCATTTTTCTCCTTCTTGGTAGCTGGTGCAGTGCAGTGTTTTGACTTTCGGCCTGGGAACAGAGCTGATAGCGATGTTTTGGTTTGGCCAAGGACTTTGTGAGCCTCATGCTCTGCCAGGGAGGAGGGGAAGCCAGGAGGAAGCAGAGACAGGACACCTGACCCAAACTGACCAAAGAGGTATTCCATACCACAGCACGTCATGCCCAGGATGTAACTGGGAGTTAGCCTGAAGGGCTGGGAGACTGCGGGGTTGGAGGAGGTATCGGTCGGTGCTTGGTCAGGCGGAGGGGGGCGAGTTATCGGTCGGCTGGTGCTGAGGTGTTGTACTCTCTTCCCTTGTTATTTCCTTTATCATTATTATCATTGGTGGTAGCAGTAGTGATTTGTGTTATACCTTAGTTACTAAACTGTTCTTATCTCAACTCGTGGGAGTTGCATTCTTTTCGATTCTCCTCTCTGTCTCTCCGGGAGCAGGGGGAGGGCAAGAAAGGGGGGGAAGTGAGCGAACGAGTTACCTGACTGGGTTTAAACCACGACAGTTCCTTTTGGCGCCCAAGGTGGGGCACGAGGGGTTGAGATAACGACAGATCTGACCGGATTAATAGTCACTCGTCACAATGCTGATTTATTGGCTCTCAGAGTTGTTCTTGTTGATCTCACAGTTTCAGAATGTTGTAACTTACGTAGAGCCGGTATTTGCTGTGTTAGTGTTTATCAAGTGTGGGGCTTGGGCTAAGGTTCTTGTCTCACTGTGCTTTATGGCAATGGCTTGTAATACGGGCGGGCTCCAGCAGCAGGGCGGGACGGACGTGGCCGTGGACTTGTACCTGGCCGTCCGGCTGCTCTTCACCGTCCTGGCCCTCACCCTACTCTCCATCTTCGTGAGGCTGCGGGGAGCCGAGGGGGAGCGGCCCCGGGAGCCGGCGGCAGCCGAAGCGGCCCGGGAGAGCGGCCCCGGGCACCCAGCGGCGGCGGGAGCGGGGCCGGAGGCCGCGAGGGGACGGCTGCCGGTGGAGGAGGTCGGGGCGGTCGAGGAGAGGAAGGAGGCGGCTGCCCAGCAGCGGGAGAAGGCGGCGGAGGAGCCGAGCCCCGCGGCCGAGCCCAGCCCCGCGACGGCCGAGAGCATTCCCCGGAAGCCGCCCGCCGAGCCCCAGGAGGATGCAGGAGACCACGCAGCATTTCCCAGCAAGGCAGAGGAGGAAGAGCTGGACTCAGGAAAAGAGAAGCTGGCGGTGGGAGAGCCGGCAAGCACAGCAGCTGCACCAGCCCCAGTGACAAGTACAGCAGCATTGTGTGAGAGTTCTGAAGGTTTTGAATGGCCTTTGGGTATCCTTGGGACCTGCCTGCTGATTGTGATGGGGATCAGCATGCTGGCACACACACAGGCAGTGTTCTACCCACCACCATTTTGTCTGATCTCAAAAGTTAAGCAGAGTCGGGTTTGGGTCTTGTCTGGGGTTAGACGACAATACAGGGGGACCAAGAGGTTTTCCCCAAGGCTGGACAGCCAGGAGTGGCAGGGTGTGTGGGACAGTATGGGCAAGTATCTAGTCCACTGGGCCCCTCCAGTGCTTTGGAAGCATCGGAGATGGAAGGCAGCTGTATGGAGTCCCCAGCAACAAGCTGCAGAAACTGCTGAAGGGGACAGTGAATTATTTTGAGCCTGGTGGGCCCATGGCACTTCAGGCCATCAGAGCAGAGATGCAAAAGAGATGGACTCATGATCAAGGGGTGGACTTAGCAATGGACACTATTGCCCAGGTTATTCACGAGTGTGAACACTGCACACAGTCTCTCCTGCTCTGGAAGACTGTTACAAGAGATGGAGCCTGACATGGACCAGATGGACACAGCAGCTTTATAGGGACTGGTCCATGCACTAAGATAAGAGTGCACCGAGATAAGAGTGACGGTATATTGAAAATGTGGGATCTGAGCATGACGTGAATGGTATGGAATAAGGGGTGGATAATGTCCTGGGTTCAGCAGTAGCAGTCATTTTTCTCCTTCTTGGTAGCTGGTGCAGTGCAGTGTTTTGACTTTCGGCCTGGGAACAGAGCTGATAACAATGATGTTTTGGTTTAGTCAAGGACTTTGTGAGCCTCATGCTCTGCCAGGGAGGAGGGGAAGCCAGGAGGAAGGAGAGACAGGACACCTGACCCAAACTGACCAAAGAGGTATTCCATACCACAGCACGTCATGCCCAGGATGTAACTGGGAGTTAGCCGGAAGGACTGGGAGACTGCAGGGTTGGAGGAGGTATCGGTCGGTGCTTGGTCAGGCAAAGGGGGGCGAGTTATCAGTCGGCTGGTGCTGAGGTGTTGTATTCTCTTCCCTTGTTATTTCCTTTATCATTATCATTGGTGGTAGCAGTAGTGATTTGTGTTATACCTTAGTTACTAAACTGTTCTTATCTCAACTCGTGGGAGTTGCATTCTTTTTGATTCTCCTCTCTGTCCTTCCGGGAGCAGGGGGAGGGCAAGAAAGGGGGGGAAGTGAGCGAACGAGTTACCTGACTGGGTTTAAACCACGACATAAACTTAACATAGACTTGTACTGCCACTGAGGAGAATCATGTAGTTTGTTAGTGTGGGTTTGGGGAGTCATGTTGACAACATTACATAGCTGTTTTAGGGAGGGAAAGGAAGAAAAAAATTACTCTTTTTAGCCTTCAAGGGAATTTTAAGGATGCAAAATGTAATTACTCAAATTCAGATTTATCCAGGAAGCTAGAATTAACCACCCTCCTCTCACAAAAAATATAACAGGATCATATGGCAGCCATGAGTTTCAATTTAAAAGGGGAGGACTATAAAAAGCTGTTACTTCATGTGTGCTGCTGCTTGTTGTTCTTTGTTGTCTTTCGCAGCCATTGTGTTGCCATCTCCAGCTCACCCCATGTACTTCTCTAGACTCAAAGGCAACATGAGTGTTGTTTGACTGAAACTTGCATGTTCTGCTAGGGAACTCTGGGAGATCTCTGTAGCTGTTCATGGGGTTCATATGCAACAGCAGCTACATATGTATATAGGCAAATAAGAAACCTTACCAAAAAAACCCACAATGCTTTTAAAATAGACATACCTGATCTATAATTCAGTTATTAAATTGTTCAGAAACTGTATTTCTATTTCCCCATAGAAAAGCCGCCACTACTCCTCTATTTTATTTCTGAATATCTGTAAGAAAATTAGCAGCTCTACTAATATGCTGTAGGGAAACTCCAATGTGTCTATTCCAACAGGTGAAGGATACGATCCATCAAATACATAGTTATAACACATTTGGATCTCTATAGGTACATATGAAAGTCTGTCCCTAATTCATGGGAATAATTACATACTGTACAGATAGTTGAAGTACTCATAATCCCATGCGCAGCAGCTCCCTTGCTAGCAGCCTGCCTGTAGGTTTTAGTAGTCAGACATGGCTGTGCAGCACAGCCTTTTAAGGGAGAACTATCTGTTCTGATTTGGTTTTCTTCACTACATAGGGCATTGCAGACGGTGCTAAGCTAACTAACTGGATTTTTACTTCTCTCTTCAGTGTCTGATGAGGAAAATCTTCCTGGTCCCATCATATATTGGCGTTACAGCTCCAGATATTATTTTCTGCAGATAATAATTTCTGTCGTGTGTGGGAACCTCATCAGCACAGTGTGGGTTTGTCCACCTTTAATCAGTGTGCAGGCAGGAGAAAGGCTGCCCAGTCCTGCCTATGGGTTGGTGCCTCTTGCAGAATGGTTTGCTCTCTTGCCTGTCAATAAGCCTGTGCTGAACAGGTCAGCCAGCACAGTGTCAGGTTGTTTTAGAAGTCTACAGGGCTGCCGGGGGTAAGGATAAAGTTCTTTAAAAGGCATCGTTGCATGAAGAGTAAGTACTGCACTATGTTCATGTTGCATGGGGGTGTGGGACTGGTGGTACACCCTATAACCTGTAACTTACTGCCCTGTATTACAAAATTACTCTGAATTTCAGCTGAATCACTTCTACTTTCTTCACTGCTGTAAAATTATGGGTGGACTTAATAAAATCTTCAGATGTTTAACAAGTTTTTCAGCAGCCTTGCCTCTCACTTCGGCAAAACTCTTCCAAAAATTATCAGGCTGATCTGTTGTTTTTGCTTCACAGCTGACAGCGTACCCAGGAACCACAGTTACAACCAGCCATTGATTTTTTTCCTGCTTGAGTGCCATAAAACATTTTCAAGAAATGGAAGAAGATAAAGGGCAGAGTGCTAAAGCTACCAGTGTGGTGGGTGACTTGAGGAAAAGTTGGCAGACCTGGGCAGAGGATCACATTGAGTATCAGAGAAAGAACCCATTCAGCAGTGAGAACAGGCTTGCATCTAAACCTGTGCATACTCACAGAGGAGATCCTACCTACGGGAGACCCCCTGAAGGGTCTCAGACAGAGCAGAGAGGGAAAGATGCTCAGTCACACGTGGGTAAGGAACTGGAAGAGCTGTGCTTGATCATCAAAAGCACTGGAGAGATGGGAGAAGATGGACATGTGAGTGTAACATTCGGGCAGCTGTTTGAGACATACGTGACTATTTCCAATAAAGTAGTAGGAATCTTGTTAAGAGCCAGAAAACACGGTCTGGTTCATTTTGAAGGTGAAATGCTTTGGCAAGGAAAAGACGATGGTGTGATCATCACTTTACTAGAGTAAGGCTTTGTCATCTAATGAATTCTGCTGCATGATTCCATTGTAAAAATGTATCTAGATAATATCTTTAAAGAGGTTTTCATTACAGAATTACAGCTCAGCTACTTACTGTGACATGAGCAGGAGAGAAAGTGGGTGAAAAAGATAAAGATATTTTTGTAAAAATGGTAGAGATTTGGACAGAAACCATAAATGATGAACTAACCCATCACACTGCCATTGGATTGTCCTTTCATTATTATCATCCACTACCAAATATACCACAGTTCTTCATATAACTCCACTGGCTTACTGCTTTAGGTTACAGAAAGTATAAATTACGAACTTGCTACCATACAACACTGATTCTTGTGGGCTGGGAAATACTGTGTGGGGAACTTTGATTTGTAAAACATGGAGTTGGAAACCTTCATGGGAGCTCATATACTTCTTTAAAAAAACAGCCCGGTACATAGCAAAATTTAGGTTATTTTTGCATGGTGATACTGAATATGGAAGTGCTTTTCATGAAGTATATGAAAATTCCCAAATTTTCAGAAATATCACAGCAAGGGTATTTGATGGTTCCTAAATGAGTTGCATCTCGCATGTGTTTTGGAGACATGGACTGCTCCTGGTATTTAATAGTCTGTTCTTATCGTCATATCTTCTCCAAACCTTCCATGTCTCCTCTTCTTTGTCCTCTGTATCTCACACCTTTTTTTACCTATTCTGTTCTTCTAATGCTGTGTCAGACTGTAGAAAATCAGAAAGTTCTGCAGGCTTTTTTGGTGAATTCAGCTATATCTCTTCATTGAAGGTGGGGTGCCACAAAAAAACACGTGATGTGAAAGACAGCAGAAACTGTTGTTTATAGTATATTACGGCACTCTGTGTTCATGAGGAAAAACCAAAAATCTAGCACTGTTGTTTGCAAGAGAAGGAGAGTAGAGACCCTGTAGTGCCAAATGCATAAATAGAAGTTTAGTGGTGCAGTCTCATACCTTATTTCTGTGGTGGAGCTGTGCTTTCAGAGCACATTTATGAGTTTTCCAGACTGGGAGAAAAAATGATCAGCTAGTTAAAGCTGAGACTGAAAGGTGACAATGATTCATTTGGGCCTCTTTGGGGGGAACTTTTTCTATGCTAAGAACCAAAAGATTGGTTATGTACGATAGTTGTAATAATGCTATTAAAAATAATCGGGAGCTGTATATACAATAGTTCACACCAAGAAAACTTATCATTAGAAATACAAATATATAGCATATATATAAAATATATATTTTTACCAGGGTAAATAAAAGCTTTCATGTGGTGTTAACTACACTACTTGATGGATCTTTAAAGTAAGATATTCTCTTGCCTCAAAAGGATATTGAAATTTAATATAAATTATGAACTTGATAAAAGTGGTAGATTATTTGATGCTATTTATACAAAAGAATAATTTTCTTGCAAAAAGCCTAAAAGAGTGGGTTTTTTGTATTGACATTTTCATCCAATGGGGATTTGTATTAAAATAAGCCTTTGACTAAACAAATAAAAATACAGATTATCCCTCTGCCTCCTTCTTGTAGTGAAAAGACAATGAAAGTAGAAAAAAAAGGAAGAAATTCATGTGCTGAAGTAAGTGGACAAGGGAATCAGATGCAGGTAGAGCATGCATGGGGAAACAAAGGATGGGTCTGAATTGCCACATAATTTTACCAGTTTTACCATGTTGGAAATGGGAAGATGTACTGCACTAGGCATTGCTGGCATGTGTTCCCTTAGTTTTCCAATCCACTCCTTCTTCCTGAACAAATCCTTGTCTTGCAGCTGAAAACGAGACATAGATTTTGTGAACTTAACACATTTGAAATGTGTTGTTGCTGGAACAGCATTTCTTGCTCAAATGACACAAGTGCACCTCAGTGGATTTTGGCTCTCATTTTGATTTCAAAATGAATCAAACTTTTTACAATACAACTATGGAATGCAGGTCATTTAATACTAACCATTTTGGAATCCAGTCAGTTCTGCCATAGTATTAGCTCATAGCTTGCAGGAAGCAGTATCAGGTGGTTCAGATGACACCAGCTCACTAACAGGATGGCGGTAGCAGGAAAAACAATACTAGACACTGTACAAATGATACATTAAAAGACACACACTTGAGGCAGGCAGTGTGTAGCCTGAGCACCATAAGATGGAAGTCCAGCTCATGTATACTCACTAGTTCTTAATTAAGGCTGGCTCAAATGGTTAAATGTCAGGAATCTAGGCTTCCAGTGCCATGTAAGTAGTTAGCGTTTGATTCTTGTGTGGCCTCTGCTGCACTCTCCTGCTGCCAGTTGGTTTAAATATCACTTGAGTACAGCTAGAGCTTTAGGCACATCTCTGATCAAAACAAAGAAGCAGGGTGAGCCCTAATGAAGTGGTCTTGCCCACTTCATAAGCGACTAAAACCAGCTTGCCCTATCATGGTATTTTGAATAAAAACAAGGCTTATTATAAAAAACATTATTTATAGAGGAATGGGGGGATTTTAAGAATTACAGGGCCAAAATTTCCTGCCAGCTTTAGATGAATATTCTCTATAGAGTGACTGAGATCTTACTAGGTGCCCATCCAATGCTTATGAACACCAAGCTGACGGACTGGGGCAATGTGCAGGTTGACAACTCCTGCTTCCAGCAATAGCCAGTATTTCAAAAGAAGTCTAGAAGGTAGGTAATACAATTGGTCAGCTTGTCCACTAGCACACTCCAGAATAAGAAACTACTCTTGAAGCCTTTTCTCACAAATGCATCATATTGAATGCACATGACTCAATTTAGCTACCAGTTCACAAGTTTAACACAATTTTTCTTCCTCATCTGTGATGTGGAGATCAGACAAGCATCTACAGATAAAACAGGAATTTAAACTTTTCAAGAGGCAATTTTTTTTTGTAATGAGCTACCATTAGAGTAAGTGGAACAGAATTTAGTAAATTATTTCTAGTATTAGAAGTTTTCTAGTATTATAGCTTATCTGGAGTAGTAAGTAAACTCTGACCTTCTAAAAGGTGTTCTTGCTCTACTGAGTAACTTTCAGCTCTTCAAATCTCTCCTAAATTTCTTTGTGGCAAGCTCCCTCAGTGGTCTTTTCCTCTTCTGCCACTTGAAGCCTGTGAATTCTGCAGCTGGTTTAGACTGTACACTGTATGGGGATTATATGTATTTTGTCAAGCACTGAAGGCACTTTCAGCACTTCAATAAATGTTGCACATCAGACTGCAATGACAGCAAATGAATTTTTATGTTTCCAAGTTTGTCAGATTTCAAATGCGATTTTCACTGGTTTGCTCCCATTTTTATGCTTTTGTTTACCACTCACACTTAAGATGACTTCAGATTACCTTGAGGACTAGTTACTAGTTTAATCACATGGTAAATGCTGTCCTTAGTCAAAACACAAACTTGTTTCTTATTTTGCATTTAACAGTGC